CGTTTTGCGCTTTTCTGGGGCTCTAATTTGGCCTGATGTGACTGATTTGTTTTTAGGCTCGAACTCAACCTTTAGAATGCTGTAAATTGTACCAAGGTTCGAACTCGACCTTGGCTTTAGGGTGAAATAGACCGTGTTAGGGTTCGAACTCGACCTCGACCTGACGTAGGGTAACACTTATTAAGGTTCGAACTCGACCTCGAGCTGATGAAAGGTTCGAACTCGACCTTTGGTTGCTCATATCGAGGTTCGAATTCGACCTCGGGTTTTAGTGTGATATAAATGTCATTGCTCGTACCAAGGTTCGAATTCGACCTCGGGTTTTGGTGTGATATGAATATCATCAAGGTTCGGAGTCGACCTTGGGTGGGTCATACCGAGGTTCGAACTCGACCTCGAATTTTAGTATAATATGAATAACATCAAGGTTCGGACTCGACCTTGGGTTTTGGCGCAGCGTATTCAGGGTTCGTACTCGACCTTGACTAAAAGTAAGATAAATCGGACCAAGGTTCGAACTCGACTTTGGTGTAAAGTGAAATAAGTTATAAAACTAAGAAAATATGAGTGGAAGAGAATGAGTTATTTTATTGATTGTATACATGGGCCTCGTTAAAAACTCTCTCAGCCAAAACCCATTTTTCTATTTTTTGGGATAAAAAGCTGAGGCTGGAAAAGAGTGCACAGCTCATTCGTACAAAGTTAACTAAAGTAAAACTTGAGATGCGTGGCATTCCAAGTTCGCGGTATGAACTTTTCGCTGAGTTCCTCCAGTCGGTATGCTCCGTTTTCCAAGTCTTCTACAACTCGGAATGGGCCACCCCAGGTGGGTGCAAGCTTTCCATCTGATGTGTCTTTCCGAGCTTCGCCTAGCAAACGCCACACCAAGTTGGCAACTCAGAAAGAGCGAGGTCGCACTCGCATATTGTATCTTCTGGAAGCTCGGAGCTTGCAGGCTTCTTCGTGGATTTGAACTTTGTCTCTGAGCTCGTCAACTAGGTCGAGGTCGGCTGCTAACTCTCGAGCGTTCTGCTCGCTGTTGAAGACTTGGCGTCGGTGAGATGTCTCTCTGATTTCCACTAGAATCATTGCGTCAGCTTCGTAAGTCATCCTGTAAGGCGTTTCTTGCGTTGTTGACTGAGGGGTGCAATGGTATGCCTAGAGGATGCTAGGAAGTTCCTCAGCCCATTGCCCCTTGGCGTTCCCAAGGCGCTTTTTGAGTTCTACTCTCACCTCACGCACACAAGCTCTGATGCCAATTTGTTAAGAAAAAAGGGCATAAATTTGGGAGCAAAACAAACTCTCTATATTCTCATTCATGTTGCAAATGAAATTACACTTATTTGTAGCTGACAAAAAACAACGTTTACATATTTTAAATGCCTCTCATAATTCACACCATTAATATTATTAAAACAAAATAAAACTCCTAATTTAAGTTTCATAACAATTGTACCTATATAAAATAATATAACTAAAAATAATAATTAATAAAAAAACATGTTAAAATATTTCAATTAAGTACAACCAAAATAACACCAAAACAATATAGTTTCACCATTCCAAAATGTGTTTATACACAACCAAAATATAAAGCAAACACTTCAATCAACAAAAAGTCTTTCTTTGCATTAGTATCAAGCAAATCAGTTGTCATGTAGCGAGTTCGATAATCCAAATTTGGGATCTTTTTTTATAACACTCCAAATATTTCCCTTTACCTCTTTGTATCTTTCTCTTTTCTCCATCAAGTTAGACATTTTATCAAAATTGACGGCTATAGTCTCAATGTCAACAGATAGATTTTCTAGAACTTTGGCTTGACTATTGTTCCCAACTGAGTTATAACTCTCTCGATACTCAGACCTACTCTACTTACAATTAATTGATTTTTCAATGGGAACCCCTAAGCCTAATGGGGGTTGAGGTGGTGAAATGCTTGGGCGAGGCGATGGAGATTGGTAAGGTGGTTCATAGTGATCTGGAGCTATGAATATATCATTGTTAAGATCATATGAAAAAATTTTCATCCCAAAATCAACATTTTTTTTACCAAAAGTTATAGCATCAATATCATGAGGGTCTATTGACATGGAAGTGTGCCCACTAGAAACTCCACCCCCAATAACAATCTTCAAATCCTCATAATCAACCATACTTTTTTCCTCGCACCTACTCTAATCATGGTGGTGCAGATTCGCACTAGCCTTTACCCCTAGCTTCATGGAGTGTTCCAAGTCGAGGTCATCTAACAGATACGAGTCAAGATCTAAAAGCATATTTTTCACATGTACTCGCATCATGTGTAATGTCACAAGGTCATCACTTTGATCATGGTGGTGTAGATTTGCATCGACATTTACTAGTAGCTTCACATGATGCTCCGAGTTGAGGTCGACGACAAGGAGGAGTGTTGTGTGGTCGTCAGTGCCAATGCCTCAGTCATTGTTAGAGCTAGGGTTAATTGTCATTGATAGAGTCAACATCAGTGGGAAGAAGTGTTAGGGGTTTGGGGCCAAAGGTTCAGGATTCGAGTAGTCCACCATAGGAATATTGCCTTCATGTAGTATCGCGGCATGGAAAACCCATTACCATTATTCACGTCTGATTGTGTCAGCATCTTTGTGAACAATGTCAACTTCTTCGAACCCTCCAAGGTGTCTTCGTTGTTGTCGTCGTCAAGCTTTGAGCTCCAGAATGGTGTGCAGTATCACAACACAAAAGAACCACCATTATTCGAGATCAACTATGTTAGCATCTTTGTGAACAACGCTAACTTCTTCGAACCCTTTGAGGTGCCTTCACCCCTGTTGTCGTTGTCACCGTTAAGCTCTAAGCTTTGGAGCAAAACCAACTTGAGGTGCGAGAAGACCTTGCCAATGTTGAGATTTGTCAGAACCTCATTATCGTCACACAACACAACAGATTGAATAGAATAAGCGACCAATTAATTTTGGGAAGGGATAATCAAACAATTTTTTTTGGATAAAATGGTCATTTACCATCGGAAAATAAATTTAATACATTAATAAAATTGTTATTAACAAATAAATTTGAACCACTCAATTTAATTATTCATATGTTTAATGGTATCTTTTACTTCTCCACCAGTGAACCACATGAAATTACACTTTATTTTATTGGTCCATTCATAAATCATATGATGTATGGGTGTACAATAGACTTCATCATCACGACGAGTCATCAACGGATACTTTAAGTGGGTCATGATAAGTCAATGAAGAAAGTCGAATTTTAAAAGGAACTTACTAATATTTTCAAATAGTTTAAATGAAAAAAATAAAATAAAAACTCATGTGTAGTTTTCCATCCATGAACTATTTGTAGAAGTTCTCCACCATAGCGAGCACCATATGAAAAAAAAAATGAATTTTTCAAGGTACACTTATGCGGAACAAATAAAAGCCTATTTGAAAACATGTAAATTCTAAGGGGAAGTACCTAATTAAGTGGTACATCCATGAATTATTAGTTTTAGCCATTTGATATATTAATAAAAAAATCAACGTGCAAGATTGAAGAAAGGCAATCTATATAACCAGTAAAATATTTTTTTTTCTCAACTCATCCCTATCAAACCACCACACGCAATGTCGTCATCATGGTCGCATGCACAACGTCACCGTGGCCACACAAGCAGCATCGTCATCATGGCCACATGCACAACATTGTCACCGTGGTCGTATGTGCAGTGTCATCGTGGCTATACGTGTAGCATTACCATGGCCACACAAGCAACATCGTCATCATGGCCGCACGCGTAATATCACCGTGGCTGCACGCGAGCATAATCGTGGTCACACGCGTAACATCATCATGGCCGCACACGTAGTGTCATTATGGTCGCATGCGTAGCGTCAATGGCCAACCGCACGCACAATGTTGTCATTGTAGCCGACCACACACATAACATCGTTGTGACTCTTCAAATATTTTTATGATTTTTTTTTATATATTTTTTCAGTTAAAAACCTCTTATTTCCAGTTATTTTAGTGTCTCATCCATAAAACACCTATTTTAATACTTCATACTAGAAGCATTCTTGAAAACATCTTAAGCGAACCTCATATAAACATTTATACATAAGTTGCACATTTATACATAAGTTGCTTCTACGATTAAATCTTTTTTGGGTTAAACTATTTTTTATATAAACTAATAATTGATTTAACAACCTATCATGTAAAGGTTATTGAAATGAGCTATCATAAACTATTTTACAAACTCTCTTATTAAACACTAGCAAGAGTATTCATAGTATATAAATAAGTTTTTCAAAATTAACTTAACTCTAAATCCTACCATTAAATATAAGTTGTTAATCAATCGTTTATTTCTTCTTTTTTTTTTCTCTATGAATATGATTTATACAATATTTTAAAAATAAAAAATAATAATTAATAATTAATCTACACTTGTGAGACATAATTTTTACTAGTCAAATATTATCATTAATTTGTTTGACATAATATTTCAATTTCAATGCTTATTATACGTATTTGGAAGGAAAGAGGGTAGTGTAAATCTTGAAGGCGTGAACCTGTACCAGCCAAGAATGAAAATAGTATATCCTCCCAAAATAGTCTAAAACTCTAAAAAAAAAAATAAACTAAAAGTATCTCTTTAGATATAGGATAAATTTGGCACCACAAGACATATTCACATATATAATCTAACTATGATTGGGTTTATATAGACTTTATAAATACATATACGAAAAAATAGAAGAAAAACAAAAGTAAAATAAATTTCTTTGATAGATTAAAAATAGTTTATGCATAAATTAAAATCTTTTTAAAGAAACATTTCTGAAAAGCGCTTAAAAAATTTATCCAAACAGTCAAAGAAAAAAACGTACATTACACGAGGTAGTAAACTACCGGATATATTACAAACCAACACAACCATTTGTAATAGAGCAAAAACTGAATAAGTGGATCTGACGGGAAAAATTTGCACTAAAACTCGACATGTGTCCTGAACCTGAACAAATTTACTATGTTATGTTATTATATAAAGTATACATGGCAATAGTTTCAGGTAATAATCCAACCCCAAGAATCAAGCCCTAAAAATAATTAGTTTTGAATATGTACATAATTTTAAGTATCACTTGGATCATATTATCTACATCTGGGTGGAAAATGTGAATTAACGAGCACTCCAAAACCGAGTATCACAAGGATAATGCATAATTTGAGAAAAATCAAACTATTTGGCTGAAACTTGAGCGATCAAACCATGAGTTGAACAGATTCACCTTATAAACTCTTACTATTTACAGATAAACCTGGAGGAATCAATTCAATAATAGCTGTTGAGTGTTAAGGATTTCACGAGCATAATAAAAAGACAGAAAAGCAATGATAACAAAGTCATGCTAAAAACTTCAAATTCTAAACTATCTTACTTTCTATCGTCTCTCTGTCAAGGTATGTGTTATGTGTATTTAGAATTTGCTTGTGCACCTAAAGAATCTAGCAGCATATTTCAATAGAAGTTATGCATTTTCATTTGTGGTGGAATGGAACAATTTCTGTTGAATCCCCGAACATCCCAACACACTTTCAGAGATTTTTCTTCAAGTAGACATTTGCACTTGTGTTTTGGAATGGTGGAATGAAAATAAAAGCAAAAAATTAAATTTAAATTGAAGAGAAATTAAAATGAAAGAAAGGTTCAAATTTCTAAAAGTCAATTTTTTTCTCCTCAACCAAACAAAAAAATCATTATTATCTGTATTTTTTTTCTTTTTCTATTTTCTTATTCTTTTCCAAACGTACCATTAAAGAGGAAGCAGAAATTTATCATTTGATATATTTTCATCAATTTCTCTTTCAAGTAACATAAATGGAGGATTTCTTATACCAAATCAAAATTCAACCATTATATTAGTAGTTAGTGTCTTGCAATCAATAGATGTTTGTCACACACTGACTTTCCTTCTAGAACACAATAATAAGTTAGGTTGTCAAATAGGTCAGATGTGACAAAAACAATATTTCCTGGTCAATTATCCATATTGAATGAATCCAATTGGTCTGATTGAAAAAGCATTCTCTTCAGTTGAGTGGGGAGAAAAGAACAATCTCCGAATGGCTCTACGTTGATGTATCTTCCCTTTCCACTTATGGAGACACAAAAACAAGTGCAAGGGGGAAATGTTTTGTAAATGAACAAAATTTACATTAAGCATGTGAGTTGTGACTCCTTTTATATCAATATTCAATTTAACCATCGCTTAAACTATCACTTTAATGTTGAGAACAAAAATACATGTTGAACCCTGAATTTAAAGAGTAAAATGATTAGATGAAGTGAATACCTTGATAGACTTGTCAGCATATCCAACGTACAGTTTTCCTTGGTTGCATAATATGGCTGTTACAACAGAACTGCAAGGAATGGATCCATATGCTTTGACGTCCAGTTCAAACTCATCTCCAGATAATTCCTACAATTCAATAACCTTTTTAATGAATTTCTATGCTACAATCAACAATATTAAAAATATATATATCATAAGTTGAACAAATTGCCATGTATTTCCCAAAACAGAGGACAAGATTTTGCATTGTTACCTGTATATTAACATTTTTGTCCCGACCTCCTGTATATAGGCATTTTCCATGCATACTCATAGCAAAGATGGCCCCATTGTGCAATGTTTTGGAATTCATGAACACATCGTTTCTCCAGACCTAAACAAGTAAATGATAAAAAGGTTGTTACACAATAATGGCAGAAGTTGATTATGTGGATCGAGTCCATATTTCAAGTGGGCTACAAAATTCATTATTAATCTTCAAAAGGGGACAAATTCTAGAAAAGTAAGAAACCTTAATGCATCCATTCTCATATGCCGCAACAAGCAAATGCCTATCTACAGTAATAGCCAGGATAGGCTTCATCTCTGCAGGCGTATCTTCCCCCAGAACTGTCAATGGACTGTGGTCATTAAGACTCCACAACCGAATTGTACCATCCCAACTACCACTGTAAAGAACCTCATCACATACAGCAAGTGTGGAAACTACAGATCTATGTCCAGTCATTGTGCATATCAAAGTTTCATCCTGGGAAAAGGTATAGAAACCCAAAGAGTGCATTGCCCAATGAAGCTTTTATTTAGGCAGCAAATAAGTAAACAAAGAAAATGACAAAGTCACCTTATATGACCATGCTTTTATTGTTCTATCTCCACTTCCAGTGTAGAGAGAATGATTTCTGGAAACTGCCAAGGAATGGATACCACTAAAACGCCAATCCTTCTTCTCATACCATTTTCTCAAGGGATCTTGCCTAAGAGGGGCAGCCATTCCCCAGATAAACATGCCCCCTCCACTGTCACCACTTATGCACAATGGTTCTTCTTCATCTACATAAACTAGAGCCATGACTTTATTCTCATGACCTCTAAATGTGTGTAAATGAGAAAAGTCCTACATAAAATTTACACGGATGAAACTCATCAATAGATAGCTGAGAGCCTGGGAAAGAGCTTGTACAATCACAACCACACTAACCAATAGTAAAAGACCATAGCCCTTCCAACTTTGTCATTATCATAAGTCATGCTTTGATGTTGCATAATAATCTAGCATTCTAGATGGTATTTTCCATTAATCCATGTAAAACAAAGAATGCAATATTTCTACATAGCACAAGATAGAATTAGTAAATGAGCATCTGAAGGAAATATGTCTGATGTAATTTGTCTTAGAAATTAGAATTCTAATTTGGGAAAATCAACAGCAATTCAACAACTTTAGAGCATATATACTTAATTAGACTTCTTTAAAGTAAGTCTTAGTTTTTAAAGGAAAAAGGGAAGCCAGCAAATCACAAATGGAATTAAAATATGAAAATATCCCAACTATATTTCTCTATCTTTTTTTATTTATTTGGTTATTGTCATTAAATATTTATCAGAAGGTATTCACTTACTGCTGAAAAAATACCTGAAGAAATATTTATTGGAAAATATCAAATAATTTTTTCTAATTCTGCTGCATTACTGAAACAATAATGATGGCATATTCATGCCAAGGTTATGAATGAGATTATGCAATTTGGAATGCAGGGCTAGAATATTGTCATGTTCTTATGCTTTAAAAGTGTTACCTGCAATGACCATACATGAACAGTTTTATCAAATGAGGAGCTAAGTAGGTACCCTCCTGCAAAACTAAACAACTACTTGTTAGAATGAAATATAATTCTGCATTGCATAATCACCATATCTCCCAACAGATCAGAACTGCACAAGCGAAACTGTTACACATGTATGGATAAAGCAGCTTAAATGCAGATACTGAATAAGATCCTAGCTTATAAAGTTTCATTAAACCATGCAGTTTCAAACTATTTTAATTCAATGCACAGAAGGCGTGAAAAACAGTGACCAAATCAATTCAAAAGAATCAAATTGACCTGGCATTCAGACACATGACAAGTGTCAATTACTGGATAACTTATTATTTGTTTGAAGGCATTAAGCACACTTTGAATAGCAAAATGGAAATATAATTAACTATATACCCCAAAATTACAGTCCTAGGTATCTTTTCACTTAAACGTTCAATAACTGGTATCATGAAATAGGATTGGTAGAAAAAGCAATGTTTGAATATAAAAATAGAATTCACACCCCCAACAGCCAATCCACTGATACAATCAAGATGGCCTCGCAGATCTTTGAGTTCAGTCATTCCCTTAGATAAGCCAGCAGCAAAGTCTTCATCAGATTTGTCTTTGACATCTTGAACAAAATTTGGTTGGCTGCCAATTTCTTTCTCCTTCAACTCATGTTCACTCAGTTCATTAGACCTTTCCTTAGGCAACAAACACAACTCCCCTAAAACCAAGCAGTGACCTGAGCTGTTCCCACTTATCGTGACCTCCAAGTTGCCCAAAATATCAAATTGAGGTTTCACTAACATTTCCTGAATGCACTTCCTCACATCCACCACATCTGGACGGTTTCCTGGATTGACGTCCAGACATTTGCAAAGAGTCTGCCTCAGTGACAGATACTCAGAGCCTAGTTTGTCTTCCAAAACAGAACTAACTTTCTCCACCCAGCACATGTAACTAGCTGAGATATCACTGCCATTCTCTCCATTCATTTCCAAGGTATTCCGAGGCAGTGCATTTCCAATAAGAAGCCGCAGCAGTACACAAGCCAATGACCATACATCCGAGCCATACCCAATTGGAACTCTTGAATGCCCACTATCCAAAGTAGCAACCCTCTTGTGCAACAACTCATACAAAACCTCCGGACTTACGAAAAACTCATTCTCCAAGCAATCCTCCCACACTGCTTCTTCTTCATGTATGCGGGAAACAGCATTCACAAACTTCTTTCTCATCACCAAAGCCTCATTCAAATCAACACAAATGCCACCAAGCTCATCAAAAGAGAAACAAGAAAGCCCCAAACAGCCAGCAACCAAACCTTCCAAGTGCAAAGCAAGCAAAGCTTCACATAGACCCTTCCCAATCATTAAAAAACTGAAAACCCCACCAGCATCCAACTTCAAACCACCCTCATTCCCACCAACAAACCCATTTCCCAATTCCCCAAACTTGTCCAAAAGATTACCACATTGCCTCTCACACACCATATACAGAGGCCCCTCCACCCCCTCACTCCACAACCCATAAACCCTACACATCCTCCCCTGCCTCACGGAAGCTTCGAGAATCAACGCCAACTCCTCCCTCGCCACCTCGTTCATCCCCTCCAAACACTTAATCACCCGCGCAACGTAACTAAACCTAAACTTGGAATGATCCCCTGGAGGGAAACAAACAATAGGAACAAGACTCACGCTGCGGTTAACTCCAAAGCAAACCCTACCCTTGGGCGAAGAACCGAACAGACCAAAACCCTTATCATCGACTGAAACGGCGTCGTGCGGGAGAATCCAATCCTTCCATGCAGCATAGAACTCAGGGGACCAGAACGGAGCGTGATCGTAACAAGCGTTGATCGTGGACCGTTGATTCGGTTTCTGAGAAGAAGGGGAGTGTTGGAGGCAGAGCCGGAGGAGGTCGATGTTTTTGGGAAGAGATGAAGGACCTTGTTGTGAAGGGTACTTCACGAGTTGTGTGCACGCGGGGCACCGAATAGTGTTCGGGTACCGCTGTGGAAACTCCGCAAGGCAAGCTTCGCAAACGGAGTGTCCACACGGTAGAACACGAGGAACTGCGTCGCGATCGTCGAAGGATTGAAGGCACACTGGGCACTCCGGCAACTCCATCGCCGGCGGTGATAAGCAGAGTAAGTAACTCCGAACGCAAAACGCAAAACCTGAAACAAACTGTTTCTGAAACGGTGTCGTTTCTCACACGGCTTCTATTAGACGCATTTGCCCTCGGGTTTATTTTAAAATTCCGGAATTACCCTCAGGTAATTGTTTTGTCTCGTGCGTTTATTAGAAGTAAAACGTCGATCGCGTGCTGCTGGAGATCTGAACTGAAACCGCTGCTTCCGATCTGAGGTATGCTCCTTCTTTATCTCTCTATCTCTCTCTTCATTTCTCTAATTCTTTGTTTGTTTTCTGAGATAATGCGAGTGAGAGGGAATTAAATTAATTGGGTCGTGAAACTTGAACTGCGTGCTGCTTCTGTTCTGCTTGTTTGAACGGTGAATTGTTTGGATTTGATGAAACACGGTTTACGTAGCTTGGAGTTAGGGTTTTTGGTCAGTTATTTTACAGTTGAGATTGGTGTGCCTTGAATACATTATTGGATCGGTTGAGCTTTAGTTCTTTGTTGACTTTTGGTCTTCGCGGAATTTGTAGCTTTTGCTGCTTGTGAGCGAAACCTTGCGTTCATGGTTTTGTGTTAGCGGGGTTAATTAGTAGCATCCATTTTATTATTAATATATTTTCTGAATGGGGTGGCTTCTTTGTTCCCTGCTTTTCGTGAAGAGAAGCTTGCTGTATAGTACAGAAAAGATTTTAGCCTTGAAAAAAGGTGAATATCATGTCACCATTTAGTCCGTTTTCAACTTAAGTCGATTTTTTTTTTAATAAAAGAATGTTTCAGTGGATTATACTTGTATCCGCTAGAGAACATGTGGCTTCTTGGGTTCGTGATAAGTGTATGTTGTAATTTTGGTTGTGTTATATATACATTTGTGCTGTGTCTGTTTGCAACTCTGTGACTGGTGGTAGTATTTTATTTTTTTTCCTGCTATTCTAACTATTGTTTGTGTTTTCATCGTTGCTGAACTTGCAATGAGAAGGCCATGGCGGGGTCTGGGAGTTCCATGCTGTATTCCTTCCTTCTCTTCACTGTCATTCTCTCACTTCAAGTAGTGTACCGAGGGAAACTAGCATCAACAGAATTATACACTATACTTGGAGGCTTCGTCAGCTCTCTCCTATTTCTTGTGCTCCTAACTGTGAGTTGTGAATCCATTTCTTGACTTCTTTTTCTTCAATCACAACCACATACATGAGCATTTTCTCAGTTTTGAAGTTTTATATACTGATAATATTGTGTTATTTTCTGAGTAATATGATCATATGCTAGAAGGAAGGAAAAAATATTTATTATGACCTCCGACACCGAAGAATGTCTATCATTTATTCCTTTTTCATTACAGCCCTTTTCATACTAGTGTTTGGGTATTTTGACATATATTATAAATTATAATTTATAATTTATAAGAATATTTGTACAAAGGTTTGTCTCTAGATGGCATCAAATCGTGCACTGCATGATTTTTCTTAATTCTTATGGGGGGTGCCAGTTTTTAAAATGAAGACAGGAGATTTTTGGAAGACTGAAAAGAACCCTGTTTTTTTATCACTTAGTAATTTGTTGGTTGACATTCGATGAATAGATATAGCATGTTTGGCTGTAAATCCGCCTTGACTTTCCACATCCCCTTTAAAACTAATATATGTAGCTTCCGTGATTTGGGACAAACTGATGTGGGTTTTCATTTCCTCAGAGTTTCCAAACATGCGGATATATTGGTTCCCCAGTCACTTATTGATATAATTCTTCTATTCTGAGAAAAGCAAAGAATCTTTTGTTCATACTATTGCTAGGTGGACTATGGTGGCCTTTTAACAAGATATATGTGGATTCTTATTTCTTTTAGATATACATGTGTGTGTGTAGTCTTCTTTTAAATATCTTCTATTCATAATTCTTCCAAGAATTCCATCAAATCTTTCTAGGTAATTTAAGGTATTTACATGTCTTTGCAGTTCATTGGAAATTTTCAGGAAACAATTGGTGCAAGAACTGGTTGGGGTGCTGGTAAGTGCATGTTGATTTTGAATGTTGATGATGACAAATTATATCATTTTATATTACGAGAATTTAAAACAAGTATAACAGAATGAGTATTGTTTGTAACTTCCTGATTTTGTGGCATTGAACTTTGAAACATACTGCTTAAGGTTAAGGGCTAAGGCACTTATTTGTTAGGAAGTTAGTATCACAAGGTTCCACCAGGTTTTTTATGCTCGTCTACCAGCCTTGGGCCTGTATTTTTAGGCAGTTAAGATTCTTAAGAATATGCTTTCCAGTGTCTAATTGTCATAACAAGTTTACTCTCTGATGGTAAAACAAAGTCCAGGCTTGTTATTTTGTGGAGAGCTTTCTGCATGATAGTTTTACATAAGAAGGCTATATTATTCTGCAATATAATAGAACGCAAACAATATTATGCAGAGCATTGTTTTTATTTCTCCATGTCTGTTTAGAGAGGCAAAATGTGAGGTATTAATTTTTCATAAAGAAGAAAAAAAGAAGAGAGTTTTGTCAAAAGAGGAGTACCATATTATAAATTATGATATATCCTTTCTCTAAACCTCTGCAATATATATATCTTATTAGTCACATATTTTAGTATAATATAGTAAGTTTGACTGTTTACAAAAGATTATTTGCATGAGAACATACATAACAGAATAAACTGTATGATTAACTGATGCTGAACCCCCACCCCCTTATTATTTAATTTTGTATCTCCCTTGTAGTATTAATTTTGTAATCCCCTTCATGTTATTATCTCTATCAATGTATCTATATTTGGTATGTTAATGGAAAATTGTTTTTTTCATTCATATTATGGCTTTATCAATCGGTAATAACAATTCCAGTTGCACATGGTGATGAAGAGCTGCAAATTTTTGTTGTCTAGGAACCTAGGTCACTCACTATTTATAAAGAGTTGTGACACTGGAAGAACATCTAGTATTGTGTTTTATGTTAATGAAAATTGAATGTAATATTTTATTTTGCAGTCATAGTTGCAGAAGCAGTTGCTCTTATTGCTGCAAGCACCGTCCATCGAGTTTGCATCACTACATGGTATGCTCCTTTAATCCTCTCTTTTCCTTATGAATGAATAAGAAGTAATTCATGAGAAGTTTAATATCTGAAGTATATATTAGAGAAGAGCGGGAGAGGGGATGAGAAGAAAAAACACACCTCAAAAGGCAATCACACCGGTTGAATGGTTCAAACTGATAATAATTAAGTGGGATATTCCTGTCAAGCCTCCTTGAAAACCTAGCTAAGTTCATAAGTGAACATTTCAAAAAGGGTTAAATTTCTTCAAATCATTTGAGCCCTAGTAAAATGTTACATTCATGTGGGCTTCAAGTGAGAACTATTGGTTATTGTGATAAATAAAAACTATAAATCGAAGTTATATAACCATATATGGATGGTTAAAATTAAAAGTTAGTTTGAAGTCGTAAGTGTATTTATCTTTTAATCTTAACTATTCAAATATGATTTAATAATTCTCACTTGATAAGCCTCTTTTATATATGTTTTGTGTCTCCGTCCTATATTTTTCATGCTAGCCGAGTCGGAGAGTTTATGTTTGTGCCATGTCGATATTGGAGTTTGCTTCATAGGTTTTAGCAGCTTAATATGCTTGCAACTTGCAGAAAATCAGAATGATGTTTCCATTTCGGAGGGTACAGTTATTTTAATGAAATAAAAAAGATCCTTATGAAGAATATTAAGCAAAGATGACCTAGTGTAGTATTGACGTTATCGTGATCTGGCTTACAAAGATGAAATCATAATATCATATCCCGGCATAGGGACACGGTGGCTAGCTGTGGATCCTTCAATATTTAAAAACCATAAAAATGTATCAATTTCATATTTTCGTATGAACTTGTTATTGGTGTTCTAATATTTGTTGCATAAATGCAGTTTCCTGTTCTCAGCTGGATTGCTGTACGAGGTTAACAAGATCTCTGGGTCGGCGCTATCAACAAGTGACTCAAGGACTAAAAAGCAAAGCGGAAGAGCTTAAGTCTATGTATGCTTACTATAAAGCCATCTTTAGAAAATTTTCCCAGGAGCATTAGTTTTATAACCCTATTATAATAACTTATAAGTGTTTTGAGTTTGACTTGACTTTTCATTGTACAATTAAAAATATGATTTGAAAGATGGGCGTCTGACTAAAAGCGGATCAGTCATTTTTTACTTAAATATCTTTTTATTTTAAAATATCATACTTTTGGTCCTTATCACTATCAGTGACTCAAAAGCTCACAAAATAGGGACCAAAAGTAGACTATTTCTACGTTAAGAGATCAAAAGTGTGATATTTTTAAATAAAAAGATTAAAAAATCACTTTAAATTTTGAAAATCCAAAAGCAAATTTGATTCAAATTTAAAGGACTAAAAATATTTAAGCCATCAATATTTTTGTTACCACAAGTAGTCTCATATATTTCATCGAGTAGCGCAATGTCAAGATGACTTACTGGATCTAAACATCTAATGGATCCGACATATACATATCAGGGAGAAAAGAGCTTCATCTCTATATATTTATTTTAAAAGATAGAGATGATAGAAATTAATAGTTGTTTATAATCAGAGTGTGGAAGTGGTTTCGGATAATTACAGAAGTAAAATTGTTTTGTTTAGGATAGCTATAGAAGTAAAACAGTCCAAACAATTGTGTACATTAAAAAAAAATTATTATATGTATAGATATTGAAATTCAAAGCATAAATTATTAAGGTCTCATAAAAAAAAGTAAAAAAAAAAAGGTTAAGTAGTTCTCTCTGAATTGTTCAGAAATTTTTAAATAGCTTCCTAAACTAATTTATTTTAATTGAGATCATGTAAAATTTTTACGGTTTCAAGTTTTTAATTACTGTTTTAAAGGATCTAATTAAAAGAATTAAGTTAAGAAACATTTTCTAAATAATTTAGGGATTTACTTTGGAATTAAGCCATTGACACTATTGTGCCACGTCAGTACCGGTGATTAATTGCAGGAAGGATCTCGGAACTCTTAACTGCCATTTGTAATATACATAAACATGGCTACATTAACCATCTGAGATTACCTTCGGCCAGACCGGTCCCTTCGTTCGTGTAATATTTTTTTAGCATGACCACTCACGAGCAAAAAAGAACAACCCACCTCGTTTGACGTGGCATAACCTGGGATTACATGCAACTGCTGTGATATGCACCCCCTAAGATTAGTGTTTATATGAGACATTTCAGGGATTAAAGGAATTTAAAACGTAAGAAAATTGTATTTTAAATCCGTCCATAAATTTCTTGTTTGGATATTTAATATTTATTATTAGAATTGGAAGTTTCAATACAAAAGTTTGCAAAACATAACAAGAATTTTTTTTTCATCCGGAGCATAATGTAAAATTAAATGAATAATTGGAATTGAATGAAATAAACTATAAACTAAAAAAATCTACATAAAATTAATCATAACAATCATTTCTTCTATAATCCAAAGTACAAAATCCAATATCAAATACTATGAAATTGGAATTGTGGTTTTTACACGGATTCAATCCTACTAGAATACTTAATCCCAAGCATGTAGTTCAGCGATAGGGGTTGATTCACGCTTAAGTAAGGTCAGATGTTCGAATTCTACCTTGTGTATGCAGTCACGTTAAATCTTGAGACCAGCTATCCCACCTTTTGAAGTGCCTCCAACGTAGCGAGGAGATTAGTCACTGCTATTGATGGTGAATACTCCAAGAACGAACCAAAAAAAAAATCCTACCAGAATACCTCTTAACAAGAACAAAAATCAAGTTTTGGCCCCAAAATGTGTAGAAGAAACTACATAAGCACAATAGTCAATAGGTTGACAGAATTTAAACTCAATAATATCCACAAAATAGCAATTATAAGGATCATTTGCACTCCCGAAGTTCTTACAGTAAGATTTGTCTATGACTATTTCTAATGAGTAAGTGAATAATAACCTTGTGGACCTCTTGTTTACCAACCTCTCCTATGTCCCTATCATGTGTACCCAAGACACAAATTGGCCTCATGATTTGTCACGGCTTTTAAGATAGCACAGGCCTGTTTTTCAAAATGCGTAATGACTAAGGTTTAAGCCAGTAGCTGATGCACGTTGCATAGTGGTTAACTACAGCAAGTCATACGGAAGTAGCCATTAGGAGTTCCCTTCCTGTAAAAGTAAGGAAAAAGAATGAGTAACAAAAATCAAAAAGTAACTCCAGCAAAAGTAAACAAGTTATTTTGGTTCAATCCACATTTCAATGATTCTGACGATCCCTACTTTTATCTTAACTGTTAACCAGGGAGGGACTTTCCCACATCTCATAACAAAGCCCCTTCTCAAGATCCCAAGTGTCTATGAGTATTTTCTTTTCAGTCAACCTTTATCTTAATTATGGCTTAAAATCTCACTCAATATACTATAATCAATTTAATAGTTCAAACAATAGCGTCTAGTTTGATTCTGATTTTGCAGCAAATTAATAAATTATTATCATGTACAACATTATTAAATTATGTATAACATAAGCTAGAGACATTAAAAAATACAAACTCTTCAAATGGCATTTCAACAGCTGAAAATTTGGGCAAAAGAAATAACATAATGGAAATCTAAGCATATAATTCTAAGACTTCAATCAATAAAGTAAGTTAAAGGGAATTTTACCATGGGGAAGCATAACAAGTGACATCACCAATATTTTCAGAGGTTGATAAGCAGGTCCTGGTTAACAGACACAGACAGTGCTGGTAGATCTTTCTACGCTCCAAGATAATCAGGATATTTTCCATACCCCAAGGACAAAATCCAAAACAATTCCTTTTACCCCACTCACTTCAATAGAACTTCATTAATCATGACACATCAAATCTTAACTCACTGAAATTCGAGGATGAATACACCCTTATTTACTCATTTTAGTGATATTCCCACTTTAGAAGAATTTTTTCCTGCAACATGTGCAAGAGATATATACATTAGGCATAATCTTAAATATAGTGGATAATGGTCTCATGATCCCAACTGCAATAACCAGCAATATAGTGCTCGATAGTTGGTGCATTTTATTGTTAGGATGGATATTACAGTAGCAGCCTATCTGCTTATGGCACTTCAAAGGGTTATAATATATAACAAAAAAAAAAACTTGCAAGCTTTAAAAAAGAGGAAAATGTTAAAATAAATAAACACTTAAAAATGCAACAGAAGTCAGGGTGAAAAGGAATGGAGTTTACCACTTAAATGCTCTGATTTTTGTATTACATAATATGCAGATCCCAAATATGTATAACTGTGGCTGCAAAACTGAAACTGTTTTGACAGCGAAATCAGTTTCCAAATCTACATATACCATGTTGGATGTTTATAGTTGCCAAATGTATTCCATGCTTTTTAATCATATAAAGGCTCCTTCACAAGAAGATTCATTTTCTCATGAAGAAATTTGAGCACATCCTCTCTCCCTTCCTTTAAAAGCAGCTGTCTTAACCTCCCAAATGTAACACGTGATGGTCGAATTCCCTTCTCCATCATCTCTTCCAGCACAACACAAGCCTTTGCGGCATCGCCCTTTTCACACAACCCCTTGATAAGGGCAGAAAACGTGTGCATGCTTGGGACAAATTGTTTCTTCTTCATATACTTCCATATTTTCAGAGCCATCTCAAGTTCATTCTTCTCACAAAACATTTTTATCATCATTGTGTAAGTGTCAGCATCCGGTTCACATATCTTGATCATCCGGCAGAAGACCCTGAAAGCTCTATCAGTCTGTCCCTGGCCAATCATACTGCTTATGATAACATTGCAGGTCCTCGAATTAGGAGCAACACCATTGCCTTCCATCTCCTGCAAGACCCTATGCACATTTTTAAATTTATTCACCTTACAAAAGGCACCAATCAAGGCATTATACACCACAACATCAGCCTTGATTCCCTGCTTTGCCATCTCCAGGAACGTATCAATAGCATCTTCAATCCGGTGCTCCACTCCATAGGTATGAACCAGGACACTATAAATGAAAGACGTTGGCCGGCAATTGCTGGCATCCATTTCCTTCACAACCTCAACAGCCTCATCAACCCTTCCAGCTTTGCAAAGAACATCAACCATTATACCATAAGTAACAACATCAGGATCACACCCCGCACTAACCATCTCTCTAAAAACCTCTCTTGCCCGGGGAAGATTGGGAGCCTTCCCCCACCCCTCAAGCAAAATGCTGTAGGTCTTGGGGTCCGGCACAAACCGGCCCTTCATGCCATCAAAAATCTCCTGAGCCTTCCTCACATTGTTGGACTTGCACAAGGCACTTAGCAAGCCATTAAATGCAGCTAGATTTGGAACCACACCATACTTATCCATAACATTAAAGGTGTAAACAGCCTCATCAACCTTGTTAGCCCTAGCATATTTTCGCATCATGATGCAAAAAGTTTCAACATTTAGCATACCCTTTTTCCTCATGACATTAACAAGGTCCCACATAATCTGGTACTGCCTAATCCTGGCCAAAGACTCAATCATCAAGTGGTATGCTCTTATGCTGTGTGAGTATCCTTTCTGATTCTCTGCCCATTCGAAAAACCTAAATGCTGACATGCCAGCATTCTCGAACCTCTTGAGAACGTTTTCCACAATTTCAGGGGACACTCTAACTCCGGTTTGGTCAAGAGCAGTGTCAAGTGCCAGAGTGGGACACGTCATCATGACCTTGCACACTCTTTCGCTTACTTCTCCAACCTCCTGAACCGACTCACTTGTGATGTGCATTTTCGCAAACAACACCCATTTGTATAAATGTTTATTTCTATGGGAACAAAGCTTAATCATTGCCGGGACAAAGAAAGATTCGCAAATTATTCACCTGGAGCAAGCTCGAAAATTGTGAGTCTGCAAACCCTACCGTGATGAGGGCGATGGCACAAGACTGAAAAAATTGGTATTTTTATAGTATTTCTGCGAATTGAGGTTCGGAACGCGGTGGTTTGATGGTGGCCGTGTAGGGTGACGCCGTGGTTGGGTTCAGAATCGCTCGAATTGGGGTTTTAGGTTCTGTTTGTCTCATTAAAAAAAATATATATCATTTTTAAAAATGTATTTTTGAAATAAAGGATAAGTTTGTGGAAAAAAAAAATCAACATAAAACAACAATAGCAAGGAGCAATATAACAACATAATTGATAACAAATATCTCACAACACAACTTATAATTATCATCGATACTAAACATACAACTTGTTACACAACACAACTTATCAACTTCAACTCAATCAAGATGCTTAACATAAACAACAATAAACATTAAATATGTAATTATGCAAATCAACAATAGAGATTTTTTACATTAGAAGTGAGTAGTTTAAGTGATTATACCTTATCGAACCAAAATGCCTAACATATCACAACCAAGTCAAATATAGACAGTATTAGGCTTCACAAAGTGCTAGGTACACAACTTACATTGATTTCTCCGATTTCACTACTTAAACTAAAAAGTCTAATATTCTTATCATGATAAAAACAACTTGGATATGAGTCTATCACGACATGAACTTGCAACATCAAGCACCTTATGATATTAGTCCACCAACTATCTTCTAAGTACTACATTTTTCAATATAACGTTAAAAATTTAATGAAAAAATTATTTTTACAACTTTCATTAAAACACTAAGTCAATAATGGTCTTGACCATATTTCAAAACCATGCAAAGGATGCACATCTCAAATTTACAATTCTATTTTGGAGTATTTTAATTGCAATAAATTTGAGCCCATTTTAAGAAATTAAGTTTAAATAGATGTTTGAGAATTTTTTTTGGGTTGACTTTAGCCACGAAAAATTAGGGAAAGAAATGATTAA